CCCCCCCCCCCAGCATGTGCTCTCATGATAAACCAAGCTGGGGGGAGGGTGACGATTCACCCAAAAAGAGGAAGAAATCCCCCCCCCCCCCAGCATGTGCTCTTGTGATAAACCGAGCTGTGGGGGCGATGATTCACCCCAAAAGAAGAAGAAACCACCCTTTCCAAGGTTGTTAGACTCCGCCACCCATCATCCCTGAACTTGGGGGGGCTGATGGGTGCCGGAGTCAAACCGCCTTCGCAGGGGCTCAGCTTGTCCGCTCCGGGCTTAGGCTGTCCGGTGTCCAGTCCAAGCCAGCCGGGAGGCGTTGGGGACGATGGGAGATGTGGCATTCTCTTTTTTTTTGGAAAGGGGGGGGATCGTTTTGCTCGTCTGTTTCTCATTTATGTGGTCTTGTTTGTCCGTCTGCTGTGACATGTGGAATTAACATTATTTTTTTCCCCCCTTCTCCATCTTCTCTCCTCTTTTCTCCTTCTTCCTCCCGGCTACCCTAACCCGGAACACCCCCCCACGCTACCACGGGCCGTCACCCTGTCCCCAAAACTCTCTCTCATTCCTCTTTCCCTCCTGCCCCCTCTGGTCCTCCATCCACCACGTCCTCCCACCTTTCCATCACGTCTTCCCTCGGCCCCTTCCCGGATTCTGGCCACGGCTTCGCTTCCCCAAATGCCCCTTGCCTTCGGCCCTGCTTGCCCCCAAAGTCGGCCCTCGTCCTGCTCGCCCGCCCCCTCCCCTCCTGGTCCGTGTCTCCTTGGTGGACGGCCAGGGGGCAGAGGGCCGGCGGCACCCCCTTTCCGACTCCCCAGTTTTGGAGAGCGTGGCGTTGACCTCTCCGGACCGGACAGGCCCGGCCTTCTGCCCCCGGCTGAAGACCCTCTCCTGCGAGGAGGTCTGCCTCCTGGCCGGCCGGCCGGGCCACGTTTTGGCCACGTTGTCCCCCGAGGAGGTGCACCCCATCCGCCTCTCGCCCATCGGGGCTTTTTCTCCGCCGGCCCGGAGCGTCCTGCCTTTCCTGGAGAGCTCCGACTTGGCCGTCCTCTTCTCCCCACTTTTCCCCCGCAGCAGAACCTACCCCGCTTTAGCTTTCTCCCCCCGCCAGGTGCCCGAGCTACTCCGCGGCGCCCGGGGCCCCCTCGACAGCCAGGCTGGAGCGGGGCCCGGGAGAACGACCAGGGTCAAAATGGGAGATGAGCCATCGGAAGCCCCCAAGCCACGATTATTACTGCCCTTCCCCTCCTCCCCTCGCCTCCCCTCCCCTTGGTGGCCCTCTTTGTTCCATCTCCCCCTCCTTTGTCGTGTATCGTGCACTGCCAGGGGTAAATGGTTTATGTTGACTTTCCCTTTGGGGGGGGGGACAGAAAAAGAAAGAAAGAGGTTGCCCGTCGCACCCCTGGATGCTTTCCTGTTCTGGTCCATCGGCTTCTGCTGGGTCGATCTAGCCTTCCATGCCCCCCCCCAATCTCAGAGGTATAACAGGAGCTTCCCAGCCTTGTTCCCTGACCTGGGACATAGGATCATGGCCCTACCTACAGATATTCTTGGATCGCAGCTCCCTGGATGGTTTTAAAAAAAAAGGGCAAAATTCAAATAAAACAATAGTTTTAAAATAGCTGCAGACTCCGAGATCACAGTGGTGTCCACAGCGGTTACAGGGTTGAAAAGAGATCTGGGTTCAAGGTGTGCGCGTGGCCATGCAACTCACCGGGCGGCCTTGCGCTCACCCTTCTCTCTCCACCTGGCTGACCTTAAAGGGCTGTCGTGAGGAAGGGGAAGGGTGGGGAGGCTGGCTTGAGCTCCTTGGGGGGGGGTCTAGCATGGAACCCACAAGCAATAGACAGCAAGTAGCGATGCTGGCACATGGGAGTTGTAGTCCAACAGCATTTAGAGACGTATGCACCTCAATCCTTTCCTAGTGGGACCAGACCAGAAGGATACACCCCCCCGCAGGGGAAGAAGTAGCTGGTGGTTTAAATCTCCAGTGGAAATCTGACCTAGAAAATAATAAACTCGAGGGTCGTTTTTAATGGGACGAAATTCTCTAGAAGTGGGATTCTGAGCCACAGAAAAGCAAGCTAGGGCTTAGGACTGAAATGGACGAGCACTAGGGATAAACTGATCCACCGATTCTTGATTTAAATGGATGTCGCTCAATTCAGAAGAGATGGAGTGGGCTCTGATGGTGAAGTTTGAAGATTTGTTTCATCGTTTTCAATCGCACGTTCAGTTTTCGGACGGCGCAAACCCGCCGGCCCTCGACTGATTTTGGATTTTCTGTGTTAATTGAACTGTTGGCTGAAATCGTGCTGCTGGAGCACGAGGTCACAGATCCTGAAATTGTTGTGATTTTTTAAAAACTGCTTCTCGTGAAAGCTGGACGGTGGAGGGGGTCCTTGAGACATTTCGACACACAACGTTCTTCTAATATTTAATACAAAGAGAGAGAGAGAAAAAAAACCAGAATCCACTCAAATATTTTTTTAAAAGCTTTGTGATAAGTAAGGCACACCCAAAACATGTAAAAAAAAAGGCTTGACAGAGAGAATATGAAATAATATCTATTACAGGGAATGCTTTTAGCCAAAGACAGAAAAAGGAATCCAGGTTTTCACAACCAGCTGGGAATTGTCTAGCTATATAGCAGACTGTATTTAAAAAACATAAATTTAAGCATTGGCCATATTGTCAATTTCAGGGTGAAACTGAGTTGAAATGGATTTAAAACTGGGTCTAAGCTCAGCTTGGTTTTGGAGGGATATTCTATGATACATATATTTTTTCATAGTTTCTCTTGAGATCTCAAAATAGCCTCAAAGGAAAACGAAACCTGGTTATGGGAGGGGGGGCAGGACGGCAGAGAGGTTAAGAGGTGTAAAAAGCTATATAAAGTAGGACCCTGTATCCGCAGGGACCCTGTACAGTATTTCCCCACCTTCGCGGATACTGAAAAATGTGGATATCGCAAACCCTAGACATAGCAAGGTCTCTGTCTCCCTCTAGTGGCCAGTTCTGGTAACTTCACCTTTAGAAAAATACATTTCTATGATTTTTCTTTTAATATTTTCTGATCAGTGGATACTGATCCTGCAGATATAGCAGATATGTATGGTATTTTAGGGTCCGCAGAGAAGCAAGGAAGGGAGCTTAGTAAATGGATATTGATTTCTGGTTCTTTTTTTGGGGGGGTGTCACTTCTTGTTTCCCCCCGCAGTCCGACATTCTCAGTCCTTGGGGGGCATCTCGAGCGACAGACGCCTACGGAGAGCCGACACGGACCGCCCGTCCTCCCAGCTTCGAGAGCAGAAGAAAGGTGAGATCTATTTGAGCTGGGAAAAGCTTTTGCAAATGTAATTTTTTTTAAAGGGTGCCACGTAGGTGTCTTCCCCCCACCTCCCATTTCTGGGACTTTCATTAAATGCCACGATGTAACCGTGGCTACATTTGCAAGCCGCAAACGGAGTATTTTTTTTTAATTGGCTGGTGGAATAATTTCATGAAATGACACGTTTTCCCATAATCCATTTACCACGGAAGACAGATTTACAGATTTCGACTTATTTCCTGCGAATACGTCAGCTGGGCTTGGCGAGGCATTTTTTTTTTCATTTTAACCCAGGTTTTCTCCAAGCATCCAGAGATGGAGCTTCTCATTAAGAGGACTCGTTAAGGCCCCGGAATGGGCTATTCTCTGAGACCTTAAACCTTGCGAATCGCCAGGATCCCTTTCAAGTTTTCCTTGTTTCCATGGGAACTGCTTCTTCCCCTTTCCACCGTTCCTAAAAACCAGGCCGAGGGTTTCCAGAGCAACTTCTTTGCTTTGAGCCGAAAACCCTAGTCTGATTCCAGAGATAAACGACGACCTTTTCCTTCTGCATGTTATTATTATTTATTTATTTGAAATGATGTCCCCCTTTAACTTGTAATTCTCACTCAGGTGGTAATAGACTCAGTTTTGTTTTGTTTTTCCCCCCTCAATATTTCTGGCTTCACATCAGCCCTGTGAGGTTGGCCAGGCTAGGCAGCCCGTTGAAAGAGCGGGGCCTCGTTATCGGTGGCCCCCTTCCCCGTCGAAAGGTTCCCCGTGAAATCCCAGCCTTGACCACTTGGGGGCGCTGGTCATGTTCTCAGCCCCCGTCTCTGAATTTCCTCTCTCTCTCCGGTTTGCTTCCTCAGCTTTGCTGGTGGCGATCAGTGCCTCCGTGGACAAAATTGTGGCTCACTTCAGCACCGCTAGAAATCTCGTCCAGAAGGTTGGTTCATTTGTTCATTGTTTAAATTACCGGCGGGGGGGGGGGGGGAGTTCCTCAAAGTACTGTATTTTTCCGTGTATAAGACTATACTTTTGTCTAAAATCTTTAGACTAAAAATTGAGGGGCGTCTTATACACGGAAGTAAGCGGAGGAGAGAACAAAAACAAGTGGAGGAGAAAGCAGGGATCAAAGCGATCCTGCAGCGCTTTGATCCCTTTCCCCCTGCACTTGCTAAGCCCCACTTAGATTTCTTAATTTTGGATTAGAAAAGTGGGGGCATCTTCTACATGGGGGCGTAATTTTCTGTTTCTGAGCTGGTGCACTGAATCTTACAATCTCCTCCCTGGCTGGACGCCAAGAAAGCAATTCCTGTAGTTTGAGGAAAAGGGGAGGAAGCTAATTAGGAGGCGCTAATGATCAATTAGGAAGGGGGAAAGGAACGGCTGGTGGCTCTTTTCTTGCAGCTGGTTGAATGGCACGCGCTCTATCTCTCTCTTTCCTTTCCAGGCCCAGCTGGGTGACAGCAGGATCAGCCCCGATGTGGGCTACCTGGTTCTGAACACCCTCTGCCCTGCCCTTCGGGCTTTGGTGAGCGATGGGCTGAAGCCCTTCCAGAAGGACGTCATCACCGGGCAGAGGCCGAGTTCCCCCTGGAGTGTGGTGGAAGCTTCCGCCAAGCCTGGTGAGGTTGGAAAGAGGCATGCAAATATACATACAGTGGTGCCTCGCATAGCGATGAAACCGCACAACGAGGGGTCCCGGGCCATCGCTGGAGCGTTCGCCCCTATGGGCTTTTTTCGCTATGCGATGATCGCGCGGACACGATCAAAGCATAGCGAACAGCTGATCGGCGGTTCCAAAATGGCCACTGCTAAATCAAAATGGCGACCGCTGTTTTGCCTTGCTAACGAGGCATCCAAAATGGCCACCGCAATGGAGGAAACTCGCAGAACGGTGAGTTTTAAGCCCATTGGAACGTATTAAATCAGTTTTAATACGTTCCTATGGGCTTTTTTATTTCACTTAGTGATGGATTCGCTGAGCAAGGGTTAATCTGTATAATACAAAATGTCAGCTTTGCAACCAGGAGCTGGGAAAATGTTTTCCTTCCAGAGACACACTTCCTGCAAAGCTCCCCTACCTGAGCCAAGGCACTTGCAAATAAACCCCCTGCTTCTTTTTTCCACTGAAATGACAAAAAACAAGCTGCAGAGCTGAGAAACCTTGCGACAGGATATTTAAACAGATTTTTTTTAACCTCTCAAGGGAACTCTGCTTCCAATAATGGGCTGTGTGGTCTGTTTTGACCCGAGCGAAGCAGATTCAATAAGGTTAGCCGGATCCATAATAATTTGGAAATTTGACTTTTAAAGACCCGGCCCTTCTAAAATTGAAATTACTAGGACGGAGCCAAATTTGCTGTTCCAAAGCCAAAAAAAAAAAAAAAGTGAAATAAATAATAAATATTCTTTAGTTTATTTTTTTAATGATCGAGTCCTCTTGACAATTCTGTCATTTGTTTTTGACGGTTCCTGTTGCAAACCACCCAGAGTAGCCTCGGCCGGATGGGTGGCATATAAATTGAATAAATAAATAAATAATCGATACAGGAAGTTCACCTTAACTCCTGGCGTACACTGCCGTTGACGCCAGCCCTGCAAGGTAGGTTTCTGTTGTTTGGTCTCCTAAGAGTTGATGGCTTGCCCAGGACGGGTCGAAGGAAGTTCCTGATAAGAGATGAGATTTGATCAGATACTTTTTTCATCCGGGAGCTCGGAAAACTTAAATTTTTCCCATCTGGGCTCCTTGCCAATACAGTGGTGCCTCGCTTAACGGCGATAATCCATACCAGGAAAATCGCCATTAAGCGAAAACATCGTAAAGCGAAAAGTATGGCTCTTTCCATGGCTCTGGGACGGATCCTCATTCAGAGCTGCCCCATGTTTTATGTTTGCAGGTCTACTCTGCAATGGTTCCCAAGCCTGGATCCCCAGATTTCTTGGACTACAACTCCCAGAAGCCTTGACCCCCAAGCTCGGTCATCTGGGGCTTCTGGGAGTCGTAGTCCGAGAACATCCAGGGACGCAAGCTTGGGAGATCTGCTGTGCTAAGGGATTTGACCTGTCTTCTTCCCTCCCCTTAGGCCCTCATACCCGGTCCCTGAACGCACTTTACTGGAGGGTGTCTCGACTGGCCCCGCTCCGGAGTAATCAACAGCGCTTCCACGCCTTCGTCCTGGGACTTCTTAAGTGAGTAGATACGAAGAGGGGCCGGTTCAAGCAGGGAAGAGGGAACGCGGCTTAAAAGAGGGGTGGGCCATTTATGGGGACCCTCCCTCTGGCTTATACGGTCCCGATTCAGAGACACAGTGATATTGTGCCTTCCCTAGAAAGGGAGGGAACGAGGGAGACAGACGGGGAGGACTAAGAGAACCCCACTGGATCTGGCGCCCAGGGCCCACAAAGGTCCCTTTTAAGACCTTCCAGCCTTGGGGCCTAATCCTGCAAGGGGGGGCACATCTATCAGAACCTGAATGCCACCCCCCTTTCTGTTTTGCCTTCCTCCCCCCTAGCCTGAAGCAGCTGGAACAGTGGTTCTCACACCTTCAGCGCAATTCAGGTAAGTGCGGCCCAACCTGGCAAGGGGGCCCGCGTCTCTGGCCGGGGGATCTCGGGCGCGGTTCTGCCTCGATCCATCTGGTTACCTGTCGCTTAAAAACCGAAACGACCTGCCGCCCCCAAGGTTTAAGGTTATGGGCTCAAAGTTTGGCATTCCGAGTGGGGGGAAAAAAGGATCAAGGGCCAGGAGGAGGGTCGTCTCGGGCGCGGTTCTGCCTCCATCCGTCTGGTTACCTGTCGCTTAAAAACCAAAACGACCCGCCGCCCCCAAGGTTTACGGTTATGGGCTCAAAGTTTGGCATTCCGAGTGAAAAAAAAAAAAGGATCAAGGGCCAGGAGGAGGGTCGTCTCGGCCGGACGGCTCGGAAAGACGGCAGGAATCAGAATCGATGATGATGATCTGGCTGGATCAATCGGCTGCCCCTGTTCGAGGACTCCCAGTTCAATTTTTTAAAAAACTGTAATCGGTGAAACGATAAAAGTCCATCCAGGAGATAAAACAGCAGATCAGAATTATACCACTATATAAGTCACATAGGTTTATGTGGTTTTTCTTTTGTTTTAACCGGGTCCCCGCCATTTGCTGGCTGGATAGCTCAGTGGGTTGAGGCATTGGTTGGGAGTTCGAATCCCCCGCTATGCCTCCTTGACAGGGGCTGGACTGGATGATCCAGAGAGGTCCCCCTTTCCAGCTCCGCCGTTCTCCGAGGACACTTGCCTCATTCTTGAGACCGGCCTTTAGCCAGATCCCTAAACAGCTCGGTGGTTGACCCTCTGATTCTCCACCGTGAGACCGGCCTTTAGCCAGATCCCTAAACAGCTCGGTGGCTGACCCTCTGATTCTCCCCCTACCTTCTGGGAGAAGAGCCAGCCTCAGTGGCCTTGGGCGAGCTGCAAAGCCCTCGTCCCTAACCTTACCTGGGCCTTCCTAAGGGCTAGAAACTTGATTTTTAGAAAATAACATTGGAAAAGAAAGAAAAGTTTCGATCTGCACCCGGATTCTATATTGTCCCCTCCGCCTCTGACATTCGTTTCAGATAACGGGGGACGCCCCGCATGGGGGGCAAACAGGGACCGCTCTGTGGGCCGATGCCAAGACCAGCCTGCTTTCTTCCCACAGAGCTAATCTCGGCCCTTTACTTGCCCACGGCCTTCTTGGTCCTCAGTCAAGGCTTTTGTCGCCGGTGGGCGGAGGAACTTTTGCTGCTGCTCCAACCGCTCTCCATGCTGACCTTCCAGCTGGATCTCCTCTTCGAGCACCATCATCTCCCTCTGGAGGTCCGCCCGGCGCTGCGGCCGGCGGTCACGCCACCCACGGAGCTGGCCACCGGCTTCTGCCCAGCCCAGGGGCCAGATTCCCCTCAAAGCCTGGTTTCCCTTTCCGGACCGTCCAGTCCGATGGACGGGTCCCCGACTCTTCCCCAGAGACTTCTCCGGTGGGGGGATCGGTTGACCCACACCTGGCTGGGCAACGAGGCCTCCCTGACGCCGGAGCCGGACCCACAGGCGGTCCAGCAGGAGACCGGGGGGAAGCCACCGAACTGGTGGGAGCAACTGAGCCGGGCGTCCGGAGTTTATGCCACCTCCTCGTCGTCGGTCTCGAAACCGGAGGGCTTCCCTTACGCTCACTGGGCCAAGCTGCGGACGGCTGTCGAGGGAGCCGTCAAAGAAGCCTGTGCGGGGATAGCGGAATCCGCACTGAGTGCCGACACCTGCCCCCCAAGCCCGGGCCGAGACGGTCGCTCGGAGCAGCCAATGCGGGCGTCCGGCCGCAAGACGGAGAGCGCGCCTGCCGACGAGACGGGCGGAAAGGCTGATGATACAGAGGTGCCCACATCTGGAGAACCCCGCGAGAATCCTGATGCCGCAGAGACCCCCGGAAGCGGGAAGGAGAAGCGTCTGGGGTGGCTGTTTGGAGCAAGTGGCCCGGGGATGCCCGCTGAGCCGGATTCGAATCTCCCCAAGTCCAGGTATTGGGAACGGGAAGGGCCCCGTTTGCAAAGGGATTTGGGGGGAGAACACGTTGGTTTGAGAAGTCGCCAACTCTTTTTCCTGGTGGCCCTCGAGGTGAGGCTGGTTGCCATCGGATTAGAGGCTACTCTTCAAGTCTAGGCAGCCTCGGGCCCTTAAATCTGAATACACACCCCTCCCATGCTAACAAAAAAAATGGATTATAGTGAATGCCATACATAGCATGGTCTCTGGCTCCCTCCAGTGGCCAGTTCTAGTAATGACATGATAGAAATACATAGTATTGCGATTTTTCTATTAATATTTTCAGACTGCCTATGTAAATCAGTAGATCCGGATCTTCTGGATAAGGGAATCCTACTGTAGTAAAATAAATATCCTTCTAGGCTCAGCTGCAGCCAATAAGTGCTTTTTAATACTGAAAATATTTTAAATAAATTTAGCTCAGTTTTCTTGGTCCTTTTAACTCTGTTTTTTAAAAAAATCTGGCCGGTGGCACTGCCCGCCACTAGAAAGTGGCCCCCCAAGAACGGCTGCAAAACTGAATTTGGCCCTTGCCTGGATGAAGTTTGCCATCCGGGCAGTTGTTGCTCCGTTGGGCGTGGGCTTTGAGCTGGGGATCATTGCTCTTCCGACAGGCGCCCTTCCAGCTGGCTTCCTCCTGCCATGAACGTCCTGGCTTTGGTGATGCGGACAGGGCCGAAGGAGAAGGGCTTGCAGGAAGAGGAATCGTGGCAGGATGATGGGTCCCCGGCTGCCCTGCAAAATTATAGGTAAGCCAGCTTCTGCCAGGGCCCTGTACAGAAGGGCTCTTAGCAGCTTGCATCGAAGAATGGGGCTTTCTTGTTTCATGGACTACAAATCCCATTCTGGGAGTTCTGCCTGGCTTACAGTCCTGTTGCATCGTTAACAGCCGGGAGGCCAATGGTGTAACCCCCCCCACCACCTCACCCCAGTGGTAACATTGCTTACCCTACTCTGTTTCCCCGAAAATAAGACAGGGTCTTATATTAATTTTTGCTCCAAAAATTGCATTAGGGGTTCAGGAGATGCTTTATTCTTTTCTTGTACAACCATCTATTTATTCAAATACACTCATGTCATCTTCTTCTGCACAAGGGTGGAGGGGCGGGGGTGTCACTTAAATAGGGCTTATTTTTGCGGGTAGGGCTTACATGATGAGCATCCTGAAAAATCCTACTAGGGCTTATTTTTTTTTTCAGGTTAGGTCTTATTTTCGGGGAAACAGGGTCCTATGGATCTCATAAAGATCTAGAAGGCCACCCTTTCTAAGAAGGCTTTGATTACATTTTTCGGTGTCCGTCTCTCCGTCCAGGGCCGTCCGCGCGCTGTGCGACCACGTGGGGAAGGGGGCCGACCACCTGAGCTTCCGTAAAGGGGACGTCCTGCAGATCCTGGAGACCGTGAGCGAGGACTGGATCCGGTGCTCCCACGGAGATCGGAGAGGCTTGGTCCCCGTCGGCTACACCTCTCTCCTCGTGTGAAGGCCTCCCTCCTCCGAGGAGCGCCGTGATGCTGAGGATCTGCTCTCGTGGGGGAAGAAAGAAGGGGGACCCACCCAGGTAGCCCCAACTTTAAGAGACACCCCCCACCAGGATGAACGTCGATCACGACAGGAACACCTCCCCGCAAAAGACTTGAGAAATGCATTTGTGTGCACAAAAAGTGTTGTTAACCGCACACCAGTCCCAAGACCGAGTGGTGGCATGTGTCCCCCGTGGATAGGGGGGCCGAGGGCTCCTTCTTGACCTCGGCCCCCCTCGGTACAAACAGCGCCCACCCTGCACCAATGCTTCTTCCGTACCTTACTGGATTTAGCCCATCCTGCCTGCCTTCCCACCTCCGTTCATGCGTTTCCACTTTTTGTCTGTGATCCCCTGGCCCATTCCAAAAAGATGATTCTCTCTCTCTTGTGGGTGTATATTGCCTATATTTGTGTGTATATAGATATATACAGATATATATATGCATATATGTAGATTTCACTTTCTCGGTTGCTCGTGTCAAAACGGGACGAACGCCGACGATGGAGTTCACAGGGGGACCCCTTCGGGAAGGGTTGTCCCCGGACGCTCTCCCCTCCTCATCCCCCCCTGATCCGGCAAAATCGCGGGTAACGAAATAGGTCGGGCCCCGTCGGCCGTCTTGGAAGGAGGCGCGCCAGCAGAGAGGAAATAAAAGGGTACACAAACCTCAGTGATGTCTGGTGGAATGGCATTTGCCGCAGGCCACGAAGGCCTCTCGGGTGTAAAAAAATGTCTGGGATCTGTAACAAAATGTTGCAGCGTCCTTACGCCGGCCGCCTCGTTGCCGACCAGACCCTCTTCCGACAAGATATCCTGCGTGCCCCCGTGGACATCTTTCATCCTTGCTGGGCCATTGCGGGGAAATCCTTGGGCTTTCCTTTCGCCCTCTGTCGTTATTCCCACGGTGCTGCTGGAAACCTTGTTTCTGCTGCGTGCGGGAAACACTCGCCTCTCACAGCCCACGTTAAGGTTCTAGTCCTCTTGGTGCTGCTCTGTTGAGCTGGCTGCAAGACGGAAGCTTTTTTAAAAAAAACCTCTCTGCGAAATTTACGGCAACCCCCTGCAAGTCTCCTCCTACCTTAGACTTGCTTTTATCCTCCAGACGACCCTGCGAGGGAGGCTTGGGCGAGGAGATGGCCCCAAATCTCCGAGTGAGCGCTGTGGTTTGCGGTGGGAGGGTGTGTGTGTTTGTGGGTGACTGCAAACCAGCAAAAACTCTTGCTTCAAATGAGTACGGAGGGTGGCCTTGGTAGCTGAATTTGATGGGGTTTTCAAGGGCAAAATATTAAGCCCGAGTTACCTACCCGGATCTCCCCACTAGGCTTTTGTGAGCTCAAAGTGGGTACTGGAAGAAGGGGTCCCCGTATCTCAGCCCGGAGAAGTCAGTGGCTGCCCGTCGCTCCTCTGAACGAATCCACGTTCGTTCAGAGGGAGGAACGAAGCGGCCAATCGTGCATGCACCAGACCCAATGAGCAAGCCACAGAGAAGCACAGAAATCTGTGCCCCTGGAATGGGGAGCAAATCGTTAAAAACCAACCCAGAGATGCGTAAATCCAGCAGTGCTTTAATATTCAGAAGCCAGACTGGATCCGACCAAAAGTCTGCTAGTTTTATCAGACAGCTCAGTGGTTTAGGTCCCTGGTTGGGAGTTCGAGTCTCCGGCTGGACCTTCCTTGACGGGCTGGATTCGATGATCCCAAAGATCCCTTCCTGTCCTGTAGTTTCCTTGACAGGGGCTGGAGTTGATGATCCCAAGGGTCCCTTCCTGTGCTGTAGCTGTAAGATGATGATTCTTATTCTCTGAATGTTGTGGGCAACCAGAAGCTTCTGCAAAACTGAACATAACACAGGAGCAGAACCCAGGACCTTCTCCTCAGTAACTTCTAGAATGACGGCAACATTATTTGATTTTCATTTGTGTACCGAGAAGGGGGGTTGGACATGATGGCCTTATAGGACCCTTCCAACATCATCATCCTACGATTCCTCCAATATTGGCCGTTGGGGGTTGGACATGATGGCCTTGTAAGCCCCTTCCATCATCATTCTACGTACGATTCCTCTGATATTGGCCATGGTATATAGCCTTCCTGATAGCCCCAACCTCTACAAATGGATCCAATTCCCTTTTTTATGCCGCTCAAATGGCCAGCCGCCACCCCGTCTTGTGGCAGGGAGTTCCACCGCTCGTCCCTTTTCTCATCACCACTCCTGTCATCCATCGCAGACAAGTTCTTGCCCTCTGGCTTTTTTTCTAAAGACGGTCTGGCCACCAGAGGGGAATCGGTGGGTCTTCCAGCTTGTTTCTTCGGCAGATGCGGCTACGTCTCCAAGGATTGGTCTCCAAACGAGACGTGTCAAGGACCCCGAAGGGAAAGGGGGGGCTTTCCAGCATCCCAGGGGGACTGGGTGAGCACGCGTGGTGTGTGAGAACCTGTGGAGGATTTGCCTGTAAGACATGGGCTAAGGGGGACGGTCCCTCAAAACCAGCCCACCCAGCCACCAGGAGGAGATCTCCAGGACTGAGGAAGGTTGGATCTCAAACTCGGCTCCTGCTGGATCTCGAACTCGGCTCCCTTCTATGTAGACCTCCTTCAATCAGTTATAGGTTCAATCAGGGAAAACAAAATAATAAAAAAAAAACCCAGAATTCTCTTGCATGACTCAAGATGTAGGAGTGCACGAATTTATCCTTTCTACTTGGGGTCAAAACCTACTCCAGAAGGGTTGGTCTGCCCCACGTTATTCTGCAATTTCCACCCACAAATTCTACTCTGGCCCTCTGGTGCAAAGCCCTCCTTCAGGTACAGCAGGACCCCCATCTCTCCCCCCCCCAGATATTGAAAATAAAATGCAAATTATAGCAAATAACTACAGTATTTTAATAGCGAACACTACAAATGTCATGGTCTCTGGCTCCCTCTCGTGGCCAGTCCCGGTACCTCCATCTTTACAAAGAATATATTTCTAGGATTTTTCTTTTAATATTTTCAGGCCCCCGGATACCGATCCGGCGGATAAGGGGGGGGGGTCCTTACTGTATCTGAAGACAGAGAATTCAACCACCCCTTCCACCCTTCCAGGACTCACTTTCTAGCGCTCACTGTTATCTTGATCCCGTCGTTCACCAAAGAAACAAAAAAAATTTTTTTCTTTAATTTTTAAAAAAAATAACATGGTATCCACCAGGGAGAGAAAAATGGGAGAGCGCCAATTTAATTTAAAAAAAAAAAAAAATGGTATCCACCAAGGAGAGAAAAATGGGAGAGCGCTGTTTCGGGAGAAAGGAAGCCGGCTGGCATCACGTAGAAACAAAATAAAAGAAATACCCCTGAAGCCTCTGGATAGGAAACATGTTTTTTTTTTCCTTTTTTTCCATTTAATACTAGAATCTCTCGGTATTTGGAGACGCAGGCGTTGTTATGCAATTACATCCAATGTTAAAATTGGTAATACATAATTTACAAAGATTAACATCAAAACAATGGTCTATTTAGATATGCTTTTTCTCTTCTTCTTTTTTTTCTTCTCTTTTTTCTTTTGTAAAAAGGAAATATATTAGCAGCTTTTCTTCTCAGCAACCACACGGCCTATCCCCATGCAGACTAAAAAGAGTTTGTAATTCTATATTGGAAAAAACAAAAAAACAAAAATCAAAACCAAACCGTAGTGCTTTTCCCTCCCCTTCACCTTCGCCTCTCCTTACTGTCCTGGGCTTCCATCCGCGATCCGAGCGAAAACTCCGGCCAGGCTTCTCCAAAGGGACCGTACAAAATTACACCCACCCGAAAAACCTTCCCCACCCGCCCCTGGTGGTTGTTCTTTTTTTTTTCTTTCCTTTTTTAAAAGTCAGTAATTTTCTACACCAGTAAGAAAACAAAACAAAACAAAAAAAACTTCGAGAAAAAAAAAAGCCAACACAAATTCTTCGCCCTTATCTAGAATTTGATTGTCTAAAAAACTTTTTTTTTCTTTTTTTTGTTGTCTTTCAACAAAAGAAAGATAAAATGGCAGAGCTGTTTCTGTCTCGCTTCTGGGCAACTTTTCATTTTTATTTATTTTTCTTTAAGAAGGATTTCTTTACCTTTTCCCCCCCCCTCCCTCTCTCTCTCTCTCCTTTAGTGTTTAACACTGCATTTTGAGACAATTAACCCCTGTTTTGTACTACATGGAGCGACTCAAAAGATTTTATTTTTTTTCCAGACATGCGATTTAATTTTCCCTCCCTCATTTCCCCGCCCTCCCCGGCCCCACAACATGTAAGAGTATTTAATACTCTGGAATCTCCTGTACAAGGGTATTTTTTTTCCTACAGTAAGAAAATATTCCAAACTATTTTCTTATTTGTTTTTTTTTTAATAAAATATTTTTTTTCCTCCAAGGGTTCCCTCCCCCGTGCTCTTTTTCCCACCCCGTCTAACTTTTTTTTTTTTTTAAATTGTCAAGAAAAGGGGGGGAAAAAATCTGAACGGAATGAAGCCTTTGTTGGTTGTTCCAAACTAAAAAGTAAAATAAGAATTATATCGGTAACAATAATGTACAGAGGGGATGAACTTGGTCCGTTAGGAAGGGACACGGGGATCAAGAGAGAGCGACCATATTGCTTTACAATCACGCAGCGAAAAGGAAGGGTTAAGATATATATACATCTTGGCACACCGAGAAAAAACGGGATTCTTTTCAGGGTTATAAGGACACCTAAAACAGGACCATAATATGCATATGAACGCCAAAAAGACAAAAGAGAGCAGAGCCACACGAAAGGGAAAACGTTTGCCACCCGGCCGGCCTCGCGCCGGTGGATCTCGGCCCCCCTTGGCGGTGAAAAACCGGACTGCATTAAAAGCAAGGGGTCTGTCCTTCCTCTGCAGTCCATAAGTTAACACTTCCAGGGTTGTCTGTGGGTCTCCTTTTTTATATATATATATTTTTATTTTTGTCCCCCAAAGTTTTTTTTAAAGGCAGAGAGAGAGGCAGGAGCATAAAATACACTGTCTCTTTAAGAGACAGATGTCTGTAAGCTGTACAGGGTGGGATTTCTTTCTCCCCCCCTCCTTTTGTTAAAAAAAAAAAAGTAAAAACACAAAGAGTAGTGTTACCTGTGGATAATAAGTCTACAATTTCACGACAAATACTTGTTCAGAAATACTGCTCGACGGTTCGTGTAGTGAAACGTTATTCGTTCCGTCTCTGCGGGTCGGTTGTTGTTTTTTGGGACAGGTTTCGGGGTTAAGGTTGGGTGTCTTTCCATTTTCACAACACACGGGACGCACGAGAACGACAGCTTATTACAAAAATAAGAGGAGGGAGGTGTGTGTGGGGTGGGGTGGGATAGAAGAAAGGAACGAGGGAAGAAAAAAAAAAGGACCCCATCGGGCGCGTTGGGACTGGATTCGCTTTATAGAGTTTCTCTGCAGCAAAAAAACAAACCAAAAAAAGAATCCCCACCCCATAAACATCACCCTCCCTCCCCACCCTGTGTTGCAAGAGGCAAAGGACGCCCAAGTGCTTTAGGAGCCAGCGGCTTCGGCCAAAGTGTCCCCCCCCCGATGACGGGGCACTCCCGGCGGCAATACGTCCGACGGGCCTTCCGTGCGCCAAGCGCGCCGTTCGTCCTCTCTTCTGTCCTGCGCAAGCGAAAGACCAGACACGCACCATTACGTGCTCTCTCTCCCCCCTCCCACACTCCAGCCAGCTCCTGCTTGGGGGTCCTTTGCGGCACCCCACTGCAGGAGAACCGATGCGTACTGGGGAAGGGGGGGATTCCGTGGAAGGGCAGCAGTCCCAAAGCCCATTTATTTACCTGCCTGCACTTCTCTGCACACCCCCCCGGCTTCTCTTCCCCCCCTTCCTTTCGAGAGGGACATCAGAACGGAGGTGGGGGGGAGAGAGAGAGAGAAAGTTGTTCGGGATCGGGCAAGAAGAAGAGGGGGGGAAAAATAAATTAAAATTGTGACCGTCTTGGACAAAGAACCACAAGGTTTTCCTTAGTACCTTAACACGGACAAACAAGGCACGCACGCGCCCAACACTACACACACGGTTAAGAGCACTGCCTGGGGGTGAGGGGCTGCTCGCCTCCCGGTCACGTCCGCGTCTTAAGTGCTACAGAACTCTTGCATCCGTTTCCGCCTGCCCTCCGGGCGCCTCCCCCAGACGCACGCCGTTCAGAGGCTCCAAGCAGAAGGGGAGGCGGAGTGGAGGGGTGGGGAGGCCAAGTCTTGTCCATCTGTTAAGTCTCGCACACGGGACTCTCCAGGCCGCAGCCTCTTCCTGGGTGGGTGGGGCGGGCGGGCGGCAAGCGCGCGCACGGGAGGGTGTCACTTCCTGAAGCTGCTCTCCGGGAGAGCCAGGGTGCGTCGCCGCAGCTTCCTCCCCGAGCCTTCCTCGAGCAGGTAGGTGACGTCAATCGCTGCCAGGAGGGAAAACACACACGGAAGGTGATTCCAGGGCGCCCCACAAAGTCCTCCAACCCTAAATCCTTGGACACACGAGATAAGCCACTTTCTCCGTATTTCTTAATTTCGCACATTTATTTACCACTGACTGAGCACAAAGCACTACTCTTAAGTGGTTTGCAGCAACGCACAACGCCAGCGACCCACCCACCTGGCATCACTGCACACTAGGGCCATGGTGTGTGTGTGTGTGTGTGTGTGTGTGTGTGTTGGGAGGGGGGGCGCTTCCAAGCACCCCACCCCCTGTGGATGCTGCAAAAACTGTGAAAATAGCAGGCATTTTATACACAGCGTGGTCTTTGGCTCCCTCCGGTGGCCAGGTTTGGAAAACACACCGTGGGTTTTTAATTTAATATTTTCAGGCAGCGTAGATACAAACGTCTCGGTATTTGTTGCGTGCATGTGCTGTGAGCCTATGGACAGATTCACGGCGTCAGAAGGGGCCTCTGAGGCCACCGAACTCTAAGCCCCCACCCCCACCCCCCTGGGGCTCAAGGCGGGGAAACCCGAAGCGAAGCAGATCAGGCAGAGAGGGGTGGCGCCATCTGCTCCGGAACGCCTCCCGCGCTGGCGCACACGTAGGCAGCGTAGGGACATGAAAAGCGCGTCATACGTTCGCTACGCGGAGGAAAGGGTGGGCTCCCTTCTTACCGTTTTTCCCTGGGATTTTCTCGAGGAGCGTGAGGAGGATTTGATTGAGCCTCTCTCGCTGCCTGTGGCGCCGATCCTCCGGGGTGCAAGGCCGCCTCGGGGCCGGGCTGCTCTCCTCCGCCTTCGGGTCCCCCTCGACGACGACGCCGACGCCGTCCTGGGGCGAGGCCTCTCTCTCGGGCTCCTCCGGGCCGCTGGCCGCCAGCTCTCCGGGAGGCAGCTCTTGGCTGGGGATGGGCTCCTCCAGGAGTGGAAGGGGGTCCTCCTCTGGGCCGAGGTCTTTGCTTTGAGACTTGGTACGGTCGGACTTCCACGACGACCTGGGGGGGGAAAGAGACGCCCACGCCCACAGCGGTGAGGACCTCTGGAGGACCCCAACCTTGCCCTGCCAAGGAAGCCCCCCCACACACACACACATAGCCCACGGCAGGAGAAAAGAATCAAAGACTCTGCTTTCCAGGACTTTGTGCCTGCCCGGCTTTCGGACTACGGCTCCTATAGCCCAGGCACGCTGGGATTCATTGTCACTAGTGTACAAGCCTTGCTGGTGTGCACCCACCTTCGGCACGTTTACGCCAACCATTCCCCATCCTCCCTGTTAGCTGCTGTATTGATCACTTAACCACTGAAAAGGGCTTCTATTTCACTGCGTTGCATAAGGCCACATGAGGCAGGCAACATAATCCAGCAGGAACCCCTTATCCACGGGACCAGTATCCACTGCTTTGCTTACCCACGGTCTGATAATAGTAAAAATATTTGAAGAAAAAAAAACGCCCCAAAAATGTTCCTAATGATCAAGTTTCCACAACTGGCCAGAAGCAAGAGTCGGAGATCACAGCGTTTGCTATGATAACAGCGTTTGCTATGACCTGCATTTTCCAGCATCCGTGAGGGGGGCGCCTGGAACGAATCTCCTAAGGGTACGGGGATCCTACTGTATAAGGAATTATTTATTTACAGGGGGAAAAATTGCTCCATTCCTAAAAGTCGCTCCCCGAGAAAAGAAACCTGATTGACACAAGGACTCACCTGCCTCCGTTCCTCTTATAATTGTCTGGGACATAATGAGGCTGCAAGAAAGAAGCGAAGCATGCCGTTAAAAGCTCGTTAGCACCATCTAGTTACAGCTCAGTGGGAGAAAGGGTCTGTTTTGCGTGCTGGAGGTTTCAGGGCAAGCCTCAGACACACACAAACTGCCGCCCTGCCAGCAAAGTTGGCTGAAACCCTGTCGCGCTGAGCTGTGGAGGTGGGAAAGGAAACGGCAGCAGGGTGGAAGCGCGCTCGCTGGAGCCCAGCGGCGTTCTGCGCTATCATGCTGGGAAGCACGCGATCAAATTGTGGAACCGAACCAGGGCAGCGCTGGTCGCCTGAGCATTAAGACCCAGCCCGCTTCCACTGGGAACGCTTCAGGTCACGAGAACAAACAGGATTCCGGCAGCTGAACGACATCGAACCAGGCTCTATGACGCGGCCCAAGGCAGTTTCCGAGAGCTTCCCTAGCCGGACTCAGAGGGAGACTCTTCCTAGGTTCTTAAAGCGTCTCCCCATGTCCTGGGGCTCAACGTACGGCAACTTCTCGGGCGTGGATCTCTCCACCTGGGAGGGCCCAGCATTGGAAGAACGAGGGAAAAGAGGACCGAACGTGACACAGAGAAGAGGCAGCTTGTGACCCTATGGTGGAAAGCCACAATCCTCCGGTTTATCGCATCCACAAGTCTGAATCAACCTCAAAATCTGGTCCACAAGCTTGAGGACGATGGACTGGCCATCGGTAGCGTGCTGCGTGTTTTAGTGAATTACGAAAGGCCTAACCTGCTCTCGCATCTTACGTGGCCTTTCTCGAATTCCAGCCGAACCCGGGAGTTTCGATGGCCCCTGGGGACGAATACCACCCCGGCTGCCCCCTAAGCTTGGAAAACGGAAGGCGCTTACCGAGAAGTCTCTTTTCGGCGTCAGCCTTTTGGGGAAATGGTCGAACGCGTAAGATTTGGTGCACACCGGATAGCGGTTTCGGTGGATCTTGTAGAAGAGGTGGGCCGACTTGTCCAGGCGATAATCACAGATGTAGACGTCCTGTTCCTTCACCCCCTTTGGCCGTCCTGGGGTGGGGGGTGGGGGAAGAAAACGTCAAGAGAATCCGGAATGAGAGGACGGGGTGTCTTTTAGAAAGCACAACCCCCCCCTCAAGCCACCCAAAATCCTTACCACACAGCCTCAGAACGGCAGCCATAGAAGGGGGTGTCTACTACCTACATCTACATTCATTCAGTCCCTTCACCCATATAGTCATACGAATACCTGTACACATAATAATACTATACTCATAGGCCATCACGTCAATTCTGACTTCCAGGGTTTTCCAGGCAGAGAATACACAGAGGTAGTTTGCCCTTCCCTTCCTCTATCTAGGAGCCTCAGAACGGCAGCCATAGAAGGGGGTGTCTACTACCTACATCTACATTCATTCAGTCCCTTCACCCATATAGTCATACGAATACCTGTACACATAATAATACTATACTCATAGGCCATCACGTCAATTCTGACTTCCAGGGTTTTCCAGGCAGAGAATACACAGAGGTGGTTTGCCCTTCCCTTCCGCTATCTAGGGGGGAGCCCTGGGACTGTACAGCTTGCCCAAGGCCACCCAGGCTGGCTCTTTCTCCCAGGAGGCCTCCCACCCAGGCTGGCTCTTTCTCCCAGGAAGGCCCCGTGGGGGGGAACTGAACTCCCAACCTCTGGCTCCACAGCCAGGTACCTAAACCACTGAGGTCTTTAGCCAGCTATTACCTGTATACACAGATGTAGGTTATGTGTGGACACGTATACGAGTATGTGCGTTTATATGTGGGTTTATATACACATAACACACATTATGGAAAGACTCATCACCCTTGCAAAATTACAAGTCCCCCCCGCATTCATCTTTTCCCAGCTAAAGCATATTCCACATTTTTTAAAGGATTCAAACTTCACTCTTACAGCTACACCCGTTGAGAGTGTGGGTCAAAACCTACAATGTCTTTTATATGCCTCAAGACTCCCTGTTGTTTTAGCTGCTAAGGGACTAGCCGGGCTACTCCCCTGAGGTACAGAAGGTGGGAACGCTCCTGGCAGCCAGTATGAGCGTCCCCTGCCACCGTGTGGTCGGGGTTAATTCTGCATGGTGTAAAAGCAAAATGCAGTACCAACTCCTTTTCCTCTCGAACCTGGAGGCTTTCCTCTGAGAGAGACAGAGAAAATAAAACATTCTCCATCCACCTCTGTTACCCTGGGCATAATTTGCTGAAATAGTTCCAGTGGTTTCCTTTAGCTATCTTTTCTTTCCTAAGCGAGAAAGCCCTAAATGATTTTTTCCCCTTTTTCCTTGATAGGCCCTGTCATTCCCCCAATGATCAGATCTACTCCTTTTGCAACTCTGGCACGTCAAAACAGGATCCCCCAGAGCACACGCACCAGGCAGGGCTCACTGGAGCCTGTCGTTATTCTGCTTGCTTTCTCTCTGAGTGGGGTGTGTGTGTGTGTGTGCCAGGTCCGCGTCCTGGGAATTCCAGGCAGCGGCGCAAAAAATGAAAACGGTTCTCACCTTTGCAATAGGTATAGAGATCCAGCACGCAACAGGTGCCCACCACGGCCTCCAGAGGGATGATTTCGTACAGCGGCACCCGGAACAGCTCGTTGTGGTAGAACTTCCGGGAGGGGGAGTGGTGCGTTTCGTGCGGACGGAAGTAGTGGTGGCCAAAGGCAAACCGCTCGGCCCTGAAGGAGAAAAGAGGGGGTGCGTTTCTCACAAGCTACCACGGTCATGCTAAAGCACACAACCAAGCAACATGCTTCATTCTCCGTCTCAAAGATGCTCCGTTTCATAAAGCCGACCGTGCCAAGCGTCGCCATCTTGACACACTAGCTTTCCGACTGCAAGGATGTGATTTTTATGAGCTATTCAGTCATGGGAGGCCCGTGTAGACAAATGGCAGCCTCCGTAAGAGAGATTACTCTTGTTGGAGGGGTTGGAATGGATCCTTAGCAGAGGGACGCTAGTAGCCTATCCCTGCTGTAAGGGGTAAGGTGATGTTTACTGTATGTCTTAGCAGAGGGACGCTAGTAGCCTATCCCTGCTGTAAGGGGTAAGGCGACGATTACTGTATGTCAGGAACCGTTTAGCTCACTCACTACGGAAAGGAATGGAAGGAGGGTGGAAGGATGCGGGTTGAGAAGAAGAAATTCCGTGTCTAAGTCGCACTGGCCATGTGACTACGGAAGATCAGACAAAAACTCTGGCTCTATGGCTTGGAAACGGGGATGAGCACCGCCCCCTAGAGTTGAACACGACTGGACAAAAATTGTCAAGGGGAACCTTTACCTTTACCTTACTGTATGTCAGGAACCGTCTAGCTCAGTCACTACGGAAAGGAATGGAAGAAGGGCTATACTCTTTCATTTGATCTGCTGCTTTTGAGAGTGGAAGGATGCGGGTTGAGAAGAAGAAGAAGAAAAAAGCTTTTCCCTGATGGAGCCAAGCCTGCTGCTTTGACTCCGACAGAGGCTGAGGAGTGCAAGCAGGAAAACCTCGATGCCCAGCCATCGCTTTACCCAGAAGTGGCGTGCTGGACTTACTTCTCGTTTTTCCACAGCTTTTCAATGCGGAAGATATCCAGTCTCTCTCGGTTGATGTGGGAGAGCAGGCGGTATGACTGCCGGACCGGGTGGCCATCCGGAGTCCTTCGGCTGTCCCTCATCAGGTACACACAGTCACCTGGTAACCACAAAGAAAGAAAAAAAATATTGGAAACCATCTCTCTCTCTCTCTTTGCATCCGGGCAGGCTGGATTTCACCCACGCTCGTCAATAGCTGAGCAGCTCAGCAGCTGTGCTGGGGAATGGCTTGCAAGACAGGGCACCTCCCGTGAAGAACCTCTGCCACCCACTAGTTTATAATCTGTTTAGCTCGCCATTCTGTTTCCTACAGTAGAGCAAAACTCAAACAGAACCTGAAAGCAATACAGGAGGACCTCTATATCTGCTAGGGGTTTCGCTCCAAGATGCTGAAAAATGCAATTGCGGTACCCTGGTTTACGAATTTAATGCCTTCTCTGGGACGTTTCGTATCGCGAAAAATTCACAAACCAAAACGCGGTTTCCCATAGGAACGTATGCACAGGGACGGCGCTATAAACCTCCCAGGACCAATGCATCCCGGGGAAACTTGCTTCGTATTGCGAAAAAAAATTCGTAAACCGAGGCATTATTTCCAAACAGAACCTGAAAGCAATACAGGAGGACCTCTATATCTGCTAGGGGTTTCGTTCCAAGATGCTGAAAAATGCAATTGCGGTACCCCGGTTTACGAATTTAATGCCTTCTCCGGGACGTTTCGTATTGCGAAAAATTCACAAACCAAAACGCAGTTTCCTATAGGGGGCGGCGCTATAAACCTCCCAGGACCAATGCATCCAAAAATTCACAAACCAAAACGCAGTTTCCTATAGGGGGCGGCGCTATAAACCTCCCAGGACCAATGCATCCCGGGGAAACTTGCTTCGTATTGCGAAAAATAAATAAATCATAAATCGAGGCATTATTTCAAATGGGTTTTCATTCGTAAACCAAAAATTACGTTAACCGAGGCGTTTGTAAATCAAGATACCACTGTACAGCAAACCCTATTATAACAATAAACACTATAAATGTGATGGTCTCTGGCTCCCTCTCGTGGCCAGCTCTGGTAACGTTCTCTTCCGAAAATATATACAGTATTTGCAATTTGCCTTTTAAATATTATTTTCAGACTCTGGATAACTGAACCAGTGAATACAGATCCCACGGACATGGGGGTTCTACTGTACTTCTCCAGACCTCCTCCCCAGATGTTCCCTGGAATTGTGGCGATGTGCCTTTGAACATGGAAGTTCCATTTATTTATCATTTCCTTTTATTTCCAGTTTCGAGGCTTTCTCTGGTTATGCAGCAGCCCAAAATATAGCATCAGCCACGAACTGGAGGGGTGTATCGGCAACCTTGTCAACCCTAAGATTTGCAGATGCTGGAAAAAAAATCTTTAAGGGGGCAGGAACAACTCCACACACGCTTGTTTTGTAAACACTCCACAACCGTCCTATAAAAACCTCAATGGCAAGGAAGGTTAGAGAAAAAACAACTGGCAAGGGAATGGGGCTGGAATGGAATGTCTGTAAAGGCTAAATGGAGAAGCTCGCCGAGGTATTATTTAAAAGCAGGAACAATCTTCCTGTAAGTCACTGAAAAGTTATTTTTAAACATCTACAGGGCTAAGAACCTGTCCACAGATACTCGGGGAGAAAGACACGGAGAAACCCAAGCTACCTACATAACCTGGGACTGATCCTCACTGCTACAGGTGCCCTTGGCTCCAAAGTAAATCATAAGGGGGAAAGGAACCCCAGCGTCAAGGGGCTCTTGAGGACTGAGAGAGAGATCAATGTACAAAGGATTTTGGAGAGGGAGGTGGTGGGAAAGGAAAAAGAGAGGTGGGGGGGGCATCACAGCACACAGCGACCAGCCCTTTACTGATCCATGCTTCCCCCACTTGCTGTGGGCATAAAAACCTCAATGGCAAGGAAGGTTAGAAAAAAAAACAACTGGCAAGGCAATGGGGCTGGAATGGACTTTTTCAGGAAGGCCAGCCTGATGCCGGTGGGCCTTGAAAGGTTATCGAACGACCACCAGAACCCCCTCACCCCACAGATCCGGGGAAGTCCCCTCGCGTCCGAAGTGCGGAGCCGGATAAAACGCCTTTTATAAGGACCGCTTAAGAATGTGGGTCTCGCTCTCTCTGGGGCCTCGATCCAGCAAGAAGGTGCAAACGTGAAGGGGAAGGTACCGTAAGGGTACCCGTTTTGAGGTGGTGAAGTCGAATCGGGTTGTGTGTGATGTGTACATCTCTCTCTCTGAAGCTGCAGGGTGTAAAATGCAGACTCAAGGAAGGCGACCGGGGTTGAAGCATCACGTGACAGCTTGGTGGGGAAAAACTGGGAAGGATTTCTCCCCACCCTTTCTGAGACTGGCTGTGATCCAGGCAACTGGCCGTGGTCTGTTCTGAGACTCATCGGCACGGCATAGGCCAGGGCCTTTTTCTAGAGCCTGCACTGAAGGCCAGAGGGATCTTTATTTTAACTTGATCCCCTGAGCGCGGGAAGCATACGTGTCACGATCGACGGGGTAGACAGGTTATAGGCTTTCCATTCCCGCCCCGGCTGCCCCTTCACGGAAACCCCCCGAAAGAGAGACGGATGCCCACCTTGGCGCAGCAACAGATCGTCTCGTAACAGACAAATGAAGTAAACGCAGCCGGGCTGGGCGTAATGAGGTCGGGGGATCATCGGCACCTCCTAAGGGAAAAAGAGAGAAAAAAAGGGAAAGAACGACCGTCTTGCGAGGCGTGATGGCAACCGTCCATGGATTCTCAGCGTCGCCATCATCGGACAGGATTAGACGGCTCGAAGAGGAAATCCTGGAGAGCTCAGGGGTTGGGGTCTCTGGCTGCGGAGTTGGGAGTTCGATTCCCCCCCTCCCACGGGGCCTCCTTGACAAGGAGACCTTGTTACAAACGTAAGTTTACTTCTCCTGGAAGCGTTCAAGAGCTCCGAATCAGCAAGAGGGGGACGGGGAAGAACTGGAGGCCTCAAGTACAGGACGGAGGGCCTTTTTGAGTCCCTGGGGCCATGTTTCAACTCATCCCCTCTCTGGATGAAGGGTGGGCGGGCTGATCGGCCGCAATTCTGACTCCTAGCTTCCCAGCAATCATGTCAAAGACTGCGTATGGGCTGCTAAGCAAGAACGTCAGGGCTGGGGTGGTCGTCCGGGCCATTGTTGAAGAACCATCAATTTGGTTTCAGTCTTGAACCCAATTTCGTAGCCCAGGCACGTTCTCAGAGGCACTCTGTTCTTTCACGTGAGGCCTGAACGCCACTCCTCTGAGCTGCCATTCTGAACCTCCGGGAAAAAATAGCTTCCAGCTGTTTTTGGCCATCCTAATTCCTGGGCCCTGCAAGGCAACTTACCCTATCCACCATGCGAGGTTCGCACTGCTCACACAGGTAGTGTTCGACGTCCGAGTTCACCCCCATGCAGTCACAGTGCTGCCAAACCTATGGGGCAGAAGACTGGGTCAGAAAACGGAGAATGCGGATCTGCCTTTCCCGTTAAGGTTGAGAGGTGCTGGGATTTTTACAACCTCGCAGGCTGCCTTTAGTCTGTTTCGACTGGGATGGGGAGGCCGTCAATCTACCCAGCACTGACCAATCGTTCCTTCCTGCCCCAAAATTCTAAGAGAGCCCCGCCTCTCCGCTGAGAGTCCTGTTTCCCTCTCTGTTGTCAGCTGTCAGTTGATTATTAGTTTGCTTTGATCTTCACAGCTGTAAGTCATTAAATGTTTTTATTCTTTCTACCGCTAATGTCTCAGAATGAGTTACTGAGAACTGCAAGAGCCAGTTCATGAGAAATGGGTGGGCTACTTGAAGAGCTTACGCAACTCCGTGGCTCTCCATACGTCGACTGTGTATCAAAAGCAGAATTTTAATCCAATTCAAAATTCCGCAACGAAAGATACACTCCTCTCTTTAAAAAGGCAGTTAACACAGCAGATTTTCAGGGCCTGCATTGCTACAGCAGGACACAGGGAGAGCGGCATCCCGCCCGCCTTGATCAGAAGAGTTCATATGCTCTCGAGTCAAATAACGAAACTGAGAACAGGCAGAATTTTGCAAAAATGCACCCAGAGGAGTGTCGGACGTTAGCACAGAGAGGGCCTGAGTCACTTAAAGGACCCATCCACACAACCTGCAGTTAAAAGGTTGGGTAGCAGGCTGGAAAAATAACCACTTCCGGTCAGAACAGACGGCACAGTCCGAAAGTGGCCAGCTATCTATCCATGGCAGCATGCTACTTCTGGACAGTTACAGGACACATAAATATCGTGTGCATAAATTTCCAGGTGCCTCTCCCTCTGCGGGTCAGTTGGGGCCAGCTCCGTCTCCCGAGGGCAGGGGAAGGCGAGAGCGTCGTCGCTGCCGAGACGACCCCCAGCCCTCACCATGCACTTGTCGCACTGGATCATGAGCCCCTCATCCTTGTACAAGCCGCAGATGCATCGGATCACGTCCTCGTCTTTCTCGTGGCTGCTCTCCTTCTCGCCCAGGGAGGTCTCGCTACTGTCGGCTTCGCTGGCCGTCTCCCCCACGATCTCGTCGATCTGGGCAGACGCCTCGTGGCGGGCGTTGTAATAGGCCTTCCGTAGCCGGCAGACGTCCCGGCCGATCGGAGATTTCCGGCCGTAGTATCTCTGGGTGCACAAAAAGAGGACCGGCACGTTTGCTTTTCAAGCTGCCCTTAGCCAGTCGCTTCTCAAAGACTTTCCCCCCCACACCCTTTTTCTGCCACGAAACATTGCCATGTGTTCATTTATTTTCATGTATTTTATTTCATTCATATATGTCCCCCTTAGTGCGACACATTATCTTGGAAGGTCTACAACAAACTAGAACAATATACTAATAAAACACAAACAAAAAAACAAAAGTTAAAACACCTAACAGCATAAAACCAAATGGCACCAAGCTTCCCAATCACAGAAGGAGAGGTACCCTCTTGGCCAGGGTTGGGGGTGGAAAGCTCCCCCCCCCAAAAACTTTTACGTTGCTTTCTAAATATTAACAGGAAGGGGGAGCGCTTAATTCGACTCCTTGCCCCTGCTGCTTAAAAACCCAACTAATATCAACTTTCTGTTTAAGTTTTCAGACTCCAGAAATTTCTCGTGAGTTCAGCTGGTTTAAAATTTACCAACTGCACTCATGGCCGGTCCCCAGTTAGGAAGCTTTTTCCTGATCTTCAGCCTAAATCTGGCTTCTGGTCGCTTGAGCCTGTGATGACGACGTATCCTGCACTCTGGGAGGATCGAGTACGGATCCTGACCCGACTTGGATTGACTTAAGGGCATGTGATTATTATTATTATTATTCTGAAACCCATAAAGGTTTCCATTATTGGTGAGAAGCCATTCTCTCGATCCTTAAAGAGCATCCTTGACAGGCAGAAGAAGACGTCAACTGGCTCTCAAAGCCTCCAGATTTGAAATCTTATCAGCCCACCTCCTCATCCCGGGTTCTGCCTTCGGTCCCTTGCCCCTCCGTTCACCCTCAAGCAACAGCCAAAACCATCTCTGGAAGCCACCGCCAGCATCAAAAGCTTTCGGCTGAACCCGGCCGCAAACTCACCTCCGTGTTGCGAAAGACCTTCAGCATGTCGCCGTCAAAGGCTTCCACCGTCTTGTAATAGCCCGTCAAAATCTGCTTCTCGATGGTGGCCAGGTCGAGCGGATCCGAGATCTTCTCATAGTAATCTGCATTTCTAAAGCCGCCGTGGGCAGAGACGGGCAATGTAATTGGCCAGGGTTTGGCTCAAAACAAGACACCGATTCTCTCCAAGTCACGCCCATCCAACCACTCCCCCTGCCACCCCCCTTGCAGATGATGATGAGAACCTACTTTTTCTTTGGAGGGAGGTTCAGCAAAGGAGCAGCAAGAGCTTGTCTGGAGGAATCTACAAAGGAAGCAGAGACGTTGGTGGAAAGGGTTTACGGCCACCTTCCTTGACTCAGAACTATCTCCAGGCGTTTTAGACTACAACTCCCGATAACTGTGGGCCGTTGGCTGGTGGAAAAAGGCCACCGGATAAAACCACCCCAGTTTTCCAGCATGGTGGATGGCCTAGCGCTTTCCGAGCGGCTTTAGGGAAGGCAAATGCAGGGGGAATTACGTGGAGCTGTGCATTGACAAGAGACCTGTACAGTTTAGCCCCGCATTTAGCCCACCCGTCGTCACCTTTGTACGAGATGATGCCGTCGCAGATTTCCTTGAAGATCTGAGCCAGGCGCGCCGCCCGTGCCACCTCAAGGTTCTCTTCAGCGGCAGCGAGCCGCCGCGTTCGAACCGAGCGGGAGGTCTGCAGGGCGGAGAACTGCGTCATGAAGACATCTGAAAAAAAAGAAAGAGAAACACCTCCTTCACTGAAGACTCGTGGCATGCCAGGAGAATTTGGGGGGTTTGGAGTTCCGCAACGCAAGGTGACTCTGCACCGGGGTCAAGAGGCTGGGAAAGGTCCAGAAAGGGAAGCCAGGAACCGCAGAAAGCTTGCAGGAGTTAGAGGGGACACCGCTGTTTAAGGTGGCATCACAGGGGAAGACTGGGAACACGACACCGCCTGCTGTGGGATACAACCCTCACCGGATTTAATGTTGCCGTCATCCCGACACATCCCATTCCAGCGGGTGTATAAGGAGGCCGAGTGGAGGTCGTCGTTCGTGTGTTTGACTTCCTCTTGCTTCTGCCGGATCTTCTCCCAGTTCCGCACCAGGAAGACGTGATGTTTGAGCACAAAATTTCTGGGAGGGGGAGAGAAAGGGCAGGCAGGGGAGAGATTAGTTCCCCGAGAAGCAGCGGGGCAGACAGAGAAGAGTTACCACCTTGGCTCACAATCACGAACCGTTTCCAGCTCTCAGATACAGTCTGTGCAGGATCAAACCGGGAGGAAGGTTTTAAAAAAAAGGGAGAATGAGCAAAGGAGGGGATGATCAGCGCCAGCGGGATTCGGAAGAAGGAACAGCTGGGGCCGTTTCTCTACAAAGGATCTGTTTGGACACCACCGCGCAATTGCATTTTGTACTACTCATGTGTACAGCGGGACTGTGGTATCCCTGAGGGATCAGGCCCAAGTGCCTCCCCCTGCTGAAAAACATGGAAGTATTGAGCACTATACATTGCATGGGCTCTGAGTCTCTCTAGTGACCAGTTCTAGCAACAACATCCTGGAAATACATATAAATAGGTATTTCTGGGTGTTTTGTGTTTTTTAATTATTTAGTATTTTCAGCCAGTGCATAAGTGAATCAGTGGATACTGATCCCGCAGATAAGGGGGTCCTACTCACAGTTTTAAGCTCTCTGTATACACCATGATTTGTGAGCTGCTTGTCTGCCTTCCTTTTCTGTTTATCCACTGACTCCTGTATCTACAGCACAGAAGCCACCCGGGGATACAGGGGACGAAACTAACGAGCAGTTGTTAGTTAGTGAGGCCACTGCAGCAAAACACAACGAAGGGGAGGGTCCCTCACCTTTCCCTGTTGGACATGGGCTTCATCTGCAGCTGGGGAGTCAGGCGCGTCGGGGTACCTGAGCTTTCGCTGGACTCCTCGGGGACGTGGCCCTTCTGTAAAAACAAACGGACATCGCTCTGAGAATGGAATCTTGGCAAATCAACACCCCCCGGGCCGCCCTGGCGCTTAGGATGCTGAACTCCGAGGTTCAACTCTGCATCCCGCTAACACTTAGGCTGGAGATTCACCGGCCCTCTCTGGACCAAATAAGTTCCGCTTCCGGGGCATTTTCGGATTTGATCAGGGCAAGAGAGGGAAGGCTTCCTCGCTCCCCATGTTTCTGCAGATCACAAAAACGTATGTCAAACAAGACGGGTTGCTCTTTAAGGTGTGCCCCCCCCATCTTTTGCCAAACCTGGAAGCAAGCAAATCAAGGGTCAAGAACACACACAGAGAGAGAGAGAGAGGGTCAAGAACAGAGAGAGAGAGAGAGAGAGAGAGAGAAGAGGGGTGCAGGCTAATTTTGGGGGGAGCCACATGCTGGCCCAGAGCATGACTAAGTAACAAAGCGGTTCCTCTGAAAATTGTGACTAGAGTGGGAAAAGGTACGGTTGCCGTTCTGTTACCAGAAAGGGGGTCATTTTGGATCTGACAGAGATGGCAAAGAGACCCAGAAGCACCTTAAATGTAACTCCTCCCCTGCCAGGTCTCATCAAGTCTGAAAAGAGCCTCTTAACAGTGTCCAAAGGTGGACTGCGGCTTAAAGTGAAGACTCTGGCAGGACGGCTACAAAGGAGAGGATTTCTGCCCCTGGACCTAGACGGCCATGTCCGTGGTGGCCCAAAGGCGCCTGGGAGAGGCCCTGCTCTGGGGTTCAAAGGCTGAACACCCCACGAGATCAGGTGGGTGGGTGGCGTGGGTATCCCCATTTCTCTGGACGCTCCAGTTCTTGCACAACTAACATCTAGCTGCGATGTAAGAAAGGAAAGGATTGGGAGAGACTGGACTCCTGGAATGGCTTCGTGCCGAATCAAATCCGTGGCCTCCTCTTGCCGAGGGCTGCCTGCTCCCAAAGGTGGCAAGTGGCCTCTGGTCGGCGTGGTGCAGGGGGAAAGGGGGCAGGGGAGCACACACACACACCCCGCTTCCCTGCACCCGCACTCACCCTCTTCTTCAGCTTGTGCTTGGATTTCCGCTTCTCTTTGGACCGGCTCAGCCTCCTCTGCGCCAGGACCGGCTGGCTGCTGCTTTTGCTCAGGAGGCCGTTGACCCGCTGGCTCTTGCCCCCAATAATCCCTCGGCACCTCTCGAAGCCGCATTTGCAGAGTTGCTGGGGATGGGGGGAAAGACAGAGAGAGAGAGCAAAGCTTGCCTTTAAATGGACGGCCTTCTGGAAGAACCCGCTGTTATAATAATACTCTTTTAAGAGCTGGGAGGGACCGGAAGGAACATCCAGGCCAGCCCCCGTTTGGCAAGCGGTTCAAACGGCTCCTCCCGGCCATCGGGATTTGCAGCATCAGGCTCAGCACCCCAGGAGGTGGTGTCAGCACCCTGTGAGGGCTCGGTGCACTGAGGTGTCTTCTCCATCTGGCCTCGTGGCTGCTGGGGAGCCCCCATCGCTACTCAACGGGCCTGATAGGCTTCCTCAACCCCTTGTTCGTTCAAGGCGCTGGCCCTTTCGCCTTCACCGTTGGGGACCGTGGCCCTCGTCAGAGCATCTCTCCCTAAGAACATCCACTTGCCCCCCCCAAGTCCTCCCACCAGGCCAGGGATCCTTCGGGCGGCCGCTCTGCGGTCATCAAAGCAAAACACGGCGTTTCTCAGCCGAGGCCCCATCCTTTCGACTGTTGAGTGAAGACTTTGAGGGCGTCCTCTCTTAATGTTTCTCTGGCTAACCATCGTCATATTGCCCTGTTTGCTCTCGCTTGACTCAAGTGGTTAAACTGCAGTACTACGGCCCAAACTCTGCTCGCGACCCCGGTTTCAATCCCAGGTAGACACCTCAAGGTTTGCTCAAGTGTCCATCCTTCTAAGGTCTGTAAAGTAAGTACCCAGCTTGCTTTTCGGGGTGGGGGGGCAGAGGGGATGTGCAGCCTGCATAATTAAATTCTAAGCCCCCCCCCAAAAAAAGAGGGGTTTAAGCACTCTGGGGTGGTGTAGAAGCAGCACACTTTTTCATTTTCCATTTTATTTATTGTTTTTGCGTGGTTTTTCTGATTTCAGTTACGGGCTGTCTTGGTTTTCTACAGGGGGGCTGTTAGCATTTAGTATATTATTCAAGATTTATTTTATTTTGTGTTACATTTGTTTCATTTGGAATGTAACCACCCCGGGTTGCGTTTACCACTAAATGGTGCGGTATACGAATTTAATAAATAAATAAATACATTTCCCGAAACACTGTATCAGGGTAATGTTTATACATCTCACATTACATGGATTGCTATTCTTTCCCTTTGAATAGTAAACAAACATTTCAAATCGATAGCTTGCAGATTTTTTTAAATTTAATTTTTTATTTTTTTGCTGCAAGGCGGCTTGCTGGGCCACCTACTACGGTTGTTTCTTTTGGTATTACAATATCTACTGGGAGCAGACGGTTTTCAGGTGGAAGACTGGCGTAAATCTTCAAAGGAGACGAAGCAATGACTGTAATGGACGTGGGCTACTTTTCCACAAAAACAGTAGGGACTAGGAACTTGAAATACCTTTCCAGGATGACTTATCCTACCCAATGGCTTGTGAAGCAGTTCCAGGCAGGTAGGATTTGATCTAAATCAAACTGATGACAGTTCAATATTTTTAATTGATTTTTGGGGGATGATTTAATTTTTTTTTTAAAAAAAAAACCTTTTAAAAGTTAATTCGCGATTTAAATGGTGATTTTAACAGATCTGATTTTTTAAAAGCTGATTTTTATCCGCCCTGGTTCCGCGGGAACACGATAACGAGATGCAAATCTCGTGAAATACGGACGGAGGAGGATCAAAGCGACTGAAGACCCAGAACGCTTCCTGTGCTTCCTGTTTGGATTTTAAAAAAAAACCTGAACCAAACACACCCTCACCCTCACCTGCTTTTCTACATTGAAGGAGTGGAAGTTGTAGTCGTAGGTCAGCTCCGTGCCAGCCGGCATGTCCTTCAGCGCGTACAGCCCAATTCTGTAGACTCCGTTGACAGACCTGTAAGGCAGAATCGGGACCAAAAAGGAGGTTTCCTTCTGAGTCAGGAAAAGGGCAGCGTGCTGAGGTGGAACCTCAAAAGACCTGCTTCCAATCCCCAAGGGACTGGAAGCTGATAAGAGCGGAGCAAGCCTGTTGAGATCCGATGTATCTTTTAAGGACAGGGGTTCCCAACTTTGAGTAAACCCAGGTGTTTCTTGGACCACATCTCCCAGAAGCCTTTTCACCGTGAGCTGTCCTGGCCGGGGTTTCTGGGAGTGGCAGTCCAAGAACATCTGGGGAACCACTGGGTTCGGACATCCGGGCGGGGAAACAGACTGTGGCCTAGTTGGCAGAAAAGGGGGAGGGTGGCTCCGTCCAGCAGACCAAGAACGGCTTATTTTAGGTTATCGGCTACAGGAATCAGGAACGGAAACCTCTGGGATCAAAAGCGCTCCAGGTGGATGGAGATGGGTTACCCCCCTTCAACCATCACCTACAAAGATTAAAGGCAAACTTAAAAATACAGCTGGGCAGGCATGTATACGGCAATGTTTTGGAGGTGGAAAAGAACTCGGAAACCCATCAGGAAGTGCTCAAGTTCATTTACTCGCTTAAAAACAAACAGCAGGAAAACGGGATGCCTCCTGCATCTCTTCATTACCGGGGGTTAGGTTAGACCGAGGACTTGGAAGGACTAAAGGCTCTTCAGAAACAACACCTCCGTAAGGACTCTCTCTCCTTGCCCCTGATGATGCTTTCAGCATTTTCTTGTCCTTTGAACTATCCCTTACCTTCTCCTACCCTTCGTACTTCTGCATTATTATAATACAGTGGTTTGCAACCTTGAGTGACCCAGAGGTTCTTGGACTGCAACTCCCAGAAACCCCGGCCAGCTCAGCTGGCGGTGAAAAGGCTTCTGGGATTAAAAAGAAGGCACTCCCTTGTATGGAGCTTTGTGTTAATAAAAAGAAGACAACCTAAGGGATAGGACTCAAAAGGAAAAAAAAGTATATGCTCAAGCACCAATTCTTGATGCTGCAGATATGATGGCCAGAATAAAAAGAAGACAACCTAAGGGATAGGACTCCAAAGGAAAAAAGTATATGCTCAAGCACCGATTCTTGATGTTGCAGATATGATGACCAGCTGGATCAGGAATAGGTGAATGGCTATAAAGTCTAGGTTGGTGAATGGTGGTGCTCACGAGAGGGGGAGGGAAAGACAGCAGGCAGGTCACAGTCTGCCCACAGGGAGCATTGTTTTAAGGAGTTATACAGGACATTTGAAACAGGCAAAATACGGTCCATCCAGACATCCGAACACAGAGATGAATTTGGAACAAACATGCCATGAATCCGAGACTGAGTTGATATCCTAATAAACTGCACGGATCCATAGAATGACGGAGTTGGAAGGGGCCATGAAGGCCATCGAGTCCAACCCCCCCCCCCCT